GAGAGAGAGAGAGAGAGAGAGAGAGAGAGAGAGCAGCTGAGGAACGTTCTTCACAGACAGAGAATGAGAAAGAGAATCTGGGAATGAATGAATTCTGGGCTCCCTGTCACTCCCTGTCCTTCTCTTAATAAAGGTAGAGATATTGCACTGAAACATGCATTGGGAACAGGTACGGCAACACCATGTGGGAAGTGTAGACATGCTGGGGTATTATAAAAATGAAGTTCCTCATAAGTAAATAATGCTACTTTGGAAACTTCTCCCTCCAACCAGCATGTTGGCTTGGGAGATAACACCAAAGTATTGCACATATATCCTTTGTCATATCTATAAGAGCATGTATTGAATTCTGGGTTAGTCTTTTAGTGTATTTCATTTGGTTTTGATTTTGTATTTGTATGACAACGTGGAAGAGACAGGGAGGGATAAATAACAATATTTGTGTTCATCATTTCCATATAAAAGTATGTTCTCACTGCAAACATATGTTCTGCTGTTGTTGCATTTCATCTGTTAGTCCCTCAGCCCCTGGCAGCCTGCAACTGCTTTCATGATAAAGCAGGCTAATAGTGGATTTTTTGAAAATACATCTAATTGCAAGGCAGTGTCTTAAAACAGTGGTTCTTAACCTTTGTTACTCGGATGTTTTTGAACTGCAACTCCCAGAAACCCCAGCCAGCACAGTTGGTGGTGAAGGCTTCTGGGAGCTGCAGTCCAAAATTCCTGAGTAACCCAAGGTTAAGAACCAGTGTCTTAAAACATTTTGCAAATAGAATTTCTGCCAGATCTGATAAAGGAAAATAGATTTTATATATTCTGGTACTATGTCAGTTTTGTCAGAGAGATTAAGTAGAAGCACATGGACAAGTTCTTCACCTTTAACAAGAGGAGAATTGAACAGTTCTGAATGAGCTTCTTCAACTCCGTAATAATATTTTGTTAAAAATTGAATGAATGAACAAATGAATGAATGAATGGAAGCACATTTCCCAGTTCTGGTGTGAGAATTGGTTAGAATTGTACTAGGCGTTTTAAGGAGACTTTATTTGGCATATTTCTTGGAGAGTAAAGTTAAAGCGGCAGGAGGGGGAAAAACAGGATACCTTCTGAATGCTTTGATGGATACTAGGGGTTAAGTAGTATGAAAACTTCTGAGACCAAACTTTAAGCCAAACTGGGCAATTTTCCCTTGAACCATACCATCTCCCCAGAAGCAAAGCAAGAAAAAACTCAGCCGTCCCCTCCCCTTCCTGAGAAATTGCAGTTCCAGGAGGCTTCTAGGAGTGAAATTCCGTTGGTAAAAATGATATTGTGTATGCGGTGTTTTGGTGGGCTTAAGGAGCCATGTAATTGGTTTTGTAGTGAATGCTGGTGGCTTACAAATGGCATATTGCCTCTGCAAATGTCAAAGCATTGAAGGCATTCATGAGGACCACTGCTTCTTAATGGACCTGAAGCAAATCTATCCCAGCCTTCATAGCCAGGCAGTATTTTTGTTGGTCCTTATAGGGGAGCTTACAAACATTGTGATCAGCCCATAGATCCTTAGGGCATAATTTGGGAACTGCTTCTACCTCTGTTTTGCCTCAGGGCTCAGGGGATGGGAAATGCAGTTCTTCGTCTCTATTCGAATTCCTCAGAGTCACTTTTCTTTAGCCTGACTGATGGAAACCATGAAAGTGAAAACAGAGTGAAGGTGTCAAGGGGGCCAATCCCATGACACATCTAGCATCCTTTCCTGTTCT